TCATTCATGAAGACACGTTACGGCGTTACTCACATCATGACTCATTCATTCATACCGGAGCCTGTCTCAGTCATCCGTACGTCATTCTGGTCTCGTGCTGTGCCGAAGACGCAGTGCATTTACATTGTGTTGCCGGGACCGTTTTGCTGTCTTTCTTCAGGGTTGTTCCAGATTTTTACTGAGTTGTTAAAGTAAGTAAGTAGTTGTTTCATTTGCCGAGTATAATGTAAATATAAGTTGAAATCTCTTTATAATAAAAGCGCAGACTTAGAAGTGGGTGATATCATCTGCGTTGGTTGTGAATTTGTTACAAAGACAAACCGGACACGCATATCCTAAGATGGAAGAGACTTTTGTAAATTCTATTTCATTATTTTTATTTTGGATTTCTGCGGAACTTTGATCAGGAATCATTGGCACGGGATACGTACTTTTCTGTGATTCAGTTGTGATTGTGGAGTAAATAAAAGTCGGGCACAATGCTAACGGTATGGAGACGCTTGTGCTTGGTATGTGCGTTTTTAGTTGGGGGGGGGGGTCCAGTTGTAATGATGCCGATTCCAGCAACGTTGACGCGGTTCATCGCTGCGGCGTTTGCATGCGACTTTCTGCGCAGATCCTTTTACTAGAGAATTGTGTTTGTCCAGGGGAGCTCAGTTTTATTATTTGTTTATGTATTTAATACTCTTTTACGGAGGCTGCTAAGTATCTGGTGCACAGGAGACTTGGCTGAATCCTCTGTTTGAATTTGGCTTGGTGAAATAGCAGTACTGTCTCCATGCGAGTAGTGTATTGTCACGTGTCCGGGGTTCCGTGACTAATAATAATGGGTTCTGGGTTGCATGATTGAATTTGTTGGCTCTTCCATTACAATTACAATCAGTTATAACAGCCCACAATGAATGGTTGTCTAAGACTCCCTCCGTACCTTACTGGACTACGAGTGTCTTCTGTTCCACTGTTACTGACTTGGTTATGAATTACGAATCGGCTACTTACTAATGAAGAACGAAGACTCACTTGCTGCTGAACTCTCATGAACTTCGTTACGAATGCACTCTTTTATAACTGGTGGCGAACTGAATGGAGACCACCATCTCGAACAGTTATCCTGTTATTATCTGTTTAATCCGTTGCTACGAAACGTGTGTCGATCTCGTGGTAACGCTATGATTTCTACAAGCGTCTTCATTGCCGCGGATACGCGCCTTCTAGTGAGCCGTTGTCTAGCAATGGACTGTTCCCTCACAGTACCAAACAGTTATAATGTAAAATGGACGGTCGAACGAGGCCAGTGGTTGGTGATACAAACAGAAATATGGCCCTCATATGAGTTATCTGTTGAACAGATTACGTTGCAGGATCGTCAACAGTCAAACGAGACAGATACTAACTGGACAGTGAATTGCGCGACAGTCACCAATAAGTCGCTGTCAACATTGCCTTACTCTACAGGCCAGAGTTTCCATGAAGTAGTAGGACAATTTAGATTGCTGTCTTGTAGGCAGATCCCGACGATATGGAGGGATGTGGTGCCTCCAACTTCATCTTGAAGTGTGTGTAGTGAGGAATGCAAAGAGGGCGGTCACAGAAATCCTGGGGGGGGGGGGGATGGAACCCAGTCCGACTAACAGGAATGGTGAACAGGAAAACTGCCGTTTTTAAGACCCCGGGTAATGAAATCGCGAAAAGAAATGGCCCTTTTGAGGGCCACAGCATTGGTTTTCATCAGAAAGAACGCGGAAGCACAACTCTTTTCAGAAGCCCTGCGAACGGGAAGTGCGACCCCTTTTCGAGACCCAGGTCGAGAAATATCCTAGGAGGAAGTAACTACTGCACTAGGGGAGAACCATCTTCTTTCCTTCGGGGAGTGGAAGAGGCTTTCACAACTTGTTCATCCTGTTCATATTGTTTGGGTGGAATTCGATCTCCACTTCCCTTATAAGCCGGTTCCTGCCCAGGATACTGGTGCTCCCACTTGCCGAACATAATTAATTCTACACTTAACAAATGCCGCTATGCCTGTCTTTGTGTGCTTGCGGCCATAGAGAACGCGATCCCCGGGGGAAACATTGGTATAACATAGTACGTAGCACGTTTCATATTCTTCGTTATTATGCGGCATGTTACCTAAATAGCTTTTATTTAGGGCTTCAGGAACAGAAGGAAGGGAGCAATGGCGGTAAGAAGGGCAAGGTAAACGGATGAGAAAGGAATGCGCGAGAACGAAGGGAAGGAGATAAAAGTACGAAAGGTATTAAGGAAAGTAGAAAAGGATGAGGTAATATATTTTTACCGAAAGACTAAATTTATACATGTTCGAAAGCCCACCAGATGACATTCGATATTCCGGAGAGTGCTGAAATAGTACAGTGAAAATGTCACTGCCTCTTTATTCCACGCCCTTTCAGCCGTACCATAATGATATTGTATTCGATACTAAGTTGTGTTGGTAGATACACTGTATTTGCGTGATTTCCGTTTCATAAAAGACGGCATGGGTATATTTGCCTGTGATACTCACTGGCGTAAAGCTGAAAGGTCACTACCAACTATATAAGCACGTCTTATTGCGGTCTCACCTTTGTGTTGGTGTTTAAAACGTAATGTTATAATTAAATGGTGTTACTCTGTGGACATAATATTGAGGCTTTCAGTTGAATTTTCGAGCATTGTACTACACGTAGTTGCTATAAATAGAATGTCCAAGCAACAAAAGTATAGCCTGATACAATGAGAGATAAAACCGTAGAATCGCTCCGCTTAATCACTCTAACTTGAAGATGTCTGGCTTAACAAGATAAAACTACTGCTGAATTACTTATTCTTTCTGTGTTTGAAATATTCTGAAATTAGTGAAGACAGTGGAGGTTAAGGCTGTAATTTTTCAGTACTGAGTAGCTGTATTTAGCAACTGTTTAGATTAGTCATTTCAGCTAGCACCAAGGGTGAGTAAAAGTTAAGTAATGGTATCCCTGTAACAGGCCGTGGAGGCCCAGAGGGTTGTCAGATGTTGAGATTCCCACACTTTTTAGACAATCGGCTCATAACTGGCGGCAAGGCTGTCAGCCCTACGCGTCGGCCGCCCTTTACCCCCAAGAATATTCAAATAATATTCCTGGTACTCATTTTTGTTAGAGGCTGAGTCGACCCCAAGGCCATAGTGCGGCTGGAAGGATTAGGCCAATTGAAAAAATCCAGTGACCTCATCGGGATTTGAACCCGCGATCTTCCGGCATAGCATAGTGCCTCAACCAACTACGCTACCGTGTGCCCCGCTAGCACCAAGGGTGTGTTCTTTTTTGCGGTTTACGACATACTCAGTATCTCAGGGCTGTATAGTATAGTGTCAGCAAGTAGGATGATCAGGAATAATGAAATGGAAGGATTTTGAAGGCTGCAGTCTAGGCCTAATTGGGAATCAGGTATTTGCATAGTGGCGGGCCAAGGAAAACCACGATAAATCCCACTCAGCTGATATTCTGGCCGAGGTTCGATCCGAGCACCTCTCAACTACTGGCCTAGAGAGTTACAGCTACAGAAGTCTACTCAGTGATTATGGGTAGAGTTCTTATAACAACTTAGGTGGGGTTCGTGTTTGACTTATGTCCGCTGAACTGATCAGGGGCGAACATAAGAGTGGTGACTACTTGAACACTGTCAGCCTTCTTACGAGAAGTTCTTAAAGGATTAAGATAAATGTGTCCCTTTGTTTCGACGCCTTCCCAAGGAAGCATATTGGTTGTCGGGAAAGTGCTATGCGTATAACAATGTAAATGTATAGCAACCCGTGTCTGAACACCACACCAGGAAGGTATATTGGTAAAAGGCAAAGTTATCCCTAAACAAAAAAACAAAACAAACTCCATGGTCTGTAGTCCGCAAGCGAACTATACAGACCGAGCGACCGCAGCTTGTCGGCGAAGTTAGTGCCAACTTTAATGGATAGAGGGTGTCGCGTCGTCAGCCAACGAATCCCCACGGCCGTTAATTCGGTTTTCTAGACCGGAGCCGCTACTTTTCCGTTCAAGTATCTCCTCAATTATCATCACGAGGCTGAGTGGACCCCGTTTCAGACCCACTACTTCTCATAAAATCTGGTAGTGCCGGGAATCGAACCCGGACCTCTGGATCTGTAGCCAGGAACTCTAACCACTAGACCACAGAAAAGTTATCCCTAAGCATAACTAATTAAGCACTACGCCATGAAGACAGATGAGGGAATGGATCTGTAGATCCACATGACCTCGGCGCTAGTTTGTGTTGGAGGTAAAACTCCATGTGTTCGAATCCTTGGCATTAGGTGGATGTGAGTGGATAGCTGTATAGCGTGGTTGCTGTCTCTAATGGGAAGGAACCATCTGCCCTCATTGGTTGGGCGGGGGACAGAGTTGGCCTGGCCACAGAGACATATATGCACTTAGGCTGGGAATTGAACTATCCCAGTTCATGTTTAAGGTCTCCAATGACTTCTTAATATCCCGAGGTCTGGCAGTGATATGCCACTATTTCTGGCAGAAACTCAAACCAGGTAGAATGGAAGCAATGCATATTGTGGCATGGCATGAATATCAGAATAGTTTAATTAGAAGAGAGGTCCATTGCAAGGTTATGACAGAATAAACAGTGACACAACAATGGATTATGTCACTTCACCCAACGTAACCAATAGGAGTACCGCTGGGAACTGTGTTTTGCAGCTACATCATGCAACAGCAGAAGAACTGCTGGAAGCGGTGTTTTCTGTTGGGTCCATCTTGAGGCCATATACCAGCAGTTAGCGAGTGCGTGGGTTATGGTGCAGCGTTATAGTTATTTGTAATTCTGAGTTGTAAGTGTTCAGAACATCTGTTTACTAATCCAAGCCTTCATCTGTAGTCACCATGTGACAATATTAATAGCAGGAGAGAGGTGCGTCAGTGAGTGAAGCTGAGGAGGAATATTTCAATGCTCGTTCCCACTATATATTGCTTGTTTAACAATAGCTTCTTTTATTTCAGGGCAGTGAAAGCCTTTCAGCAAGTGTTGTACGTTGATCCTGGGTTTTCCCGCGCAAATGAAGTTCACTTGCGGCTTGGGTTGATGTTCAAAGTGAACAATGATTTTGAATCAGCATTGAAACACTTGCAACTGTCCCTTATTGACGCCAGCCCAAGCACCTTCTCCAAGCTAGAGAGTAAGTATTGGAGACGCTGATTATCTTTTATTAATATGTTGTCAGTGTAGGTTTTGACATAACAGATCAATTAGTGATCAGATCTTCTGCATTCATCAGAAAATGGAGAAAAAAAATGGAATAGAGTGAGACAGTACAGCGGCTATTCATAGACTTGAATGAAACCTACGATTCAGTTAGGAGGGACGTATGGTACAATATTCTCATAGAGTTTGGGGCAACCATGAACCTAGTTAGGCTGATTAAAATGCTTTAAATGAAATGTATGGTAATGTCCATATAGGTGAACATTTGTCTTATAATTTTCCTATTCAGAATGGTCTAAAACAAGGAGATGCTTTATTGACACTGCTTTTCAACTTTGCTTTAGAATATGTCATTAGGAAGGTCCAGGAAAACCAGGTGGGACTGAAATTAAATGGGACGCATCAGCTGTTGGTCTATGCCGATGATGTGAATCTACTGGGTGATAATGTAGATACCTTAAAGAAAAACACAAACTTTAATTGACACAAGTAAAGAGGTTGGTCTAGAAGTAAACACAGAGAAAACTAAGTATATATTGCTGTCTCATCACCAGATTGCAGGGAAGAATCATGACATAAAGATAGCTGACAGATCCTTTGAAAATTTGCACAGTTCAGATGTTTGGAAACGATAGTAACAAATCAAAACTTGATTCAGGCGTTAAGAGAAGACTGAATTTGGATAACGCTTGCTACCATTTGGTCCAGAACTTTCCATCTTCTTGCCTGCTGTCTAAAACCTTAAAAGAATTAGAATATACAGAGCTATAATTTTGCTATGGTTCTATATGGGTGTGAAACTTAGTCTCTGGCAATAAGGGAGGAACATAGACTGAGAGTATTTCAGAACAGGGTGCTGAGGAGAATATTTGGACCGAAGAGAGATGACATGACAGGAGGCTGGAGAAAATTGCTTCATAACTTGTACTCTTTGCCAAATATAACTAGATTGTTCAAGTCAAGGAGGATGAGATGGGCAGGGCATTTAGCACGAATGGGTGAGGAGTGCATCTATGATACTACTGGGAAAGCCAGAAGGAGAGAGGCTACTGGGAGGACCAGACGTAGGTGGGTGGACAATATTAAGATGGATCTTAGAGAGAAAGAATAGGATGGGATGGTATGGACTGGATCGATCTGCCTCAGGATAGGGACCAGTGGAGGGCTCTTGTGAAGTCGGCAGTGAACCTTCAGGTTCCATAAAATGCTGGGAAGTTCTTGAGTAGCTGCACAACTAGCAGCTTCTCAAGAAAGGCTCAGCCCCATGAATGAGTGAGTATAATTTTCAAAAATGTCCAGTAGCAAGTAAAGTTTACTGAACTACAGCATGCCGTAAATCTTATATCCTAAGTTTCTGGCTTGACCTCAATGATGAAAGTGACCATGGAAGTGGTAAACACCACTTCCAACCATTTGAAGCTTCAGATTCATCTATTTCATATTCAGAAATTCAAACACAGTTTAATGTTAAGCAGGTCGTCCATTTCTAGCCAGAGGGCGTTTAAGGGCTTAGGGCTCTGATGGAATTAAACCTTTCATTGCAACTCTATTAGTGAGTTGTCCTTGTCTGTCTTCTCTGTTCATCAGTGTCCACACATGCCTCTACTATAGACAGACTTACTTTTAAACTTAAAGAGTCATCAGTATACCAGTACGACATTGTGGAAGCTCATTTTAATTCTAGTGAAATTGAATGCACTACAAGACGGCCACTGTATACATATCATGGACCTAGTGAAAGAAGTATGTTTTTGATGTTACAGTGAGGTCTGAGGTACAGTATGTACTACATGATGTTTTTATTTTGTTCTAGTACGTTTCCATATTGCTCACCTGTATGAAGTTCAAGGAAAATATAAGACTGCCAAAGAGAACTACGAGCAATTGCTGAAGGAGAAGGACCTGCCAACACACTTGAAGGCTGACATATGCCGTCAGTTAGGTGAGTGGATGCTTGGCCAGTTAATTTTGTTGATATTTCAATTCTTAAGTGATTATTTCCTCATAGGCTGTATTAGCAACTCATTACAAAACAGTCATGATACAGGAAGATACTCAGGCAGTTTATTTAGATGGATTTTTTGGAAGCACCAAAGTCATGGAAAATGGTTATGACATTTGGAACTGGGGAAAGCCAGGTAATTGAAAACAGTAGTGAGAGATAACTGGAATGCTAATCGATGCATAGGGGAAGACTTTTCATAGATATGGGTATTATATAACCCATTAAGAGCCTAGAGTTTTTTAGTATTAGAATGTTGCATATAGTGGAAGCTCATTTTTAATATTTGTCAATTTAAGGGTGTCTGAGGTATAATGTTAAATATCAGTGATTCAAAGTATGTAATCTGGTGTAAAATTTTCCATTAAATGTTTTGAAATCCACTGCTCCTCAAAGAAACCTTAGAATTTTCACCCTGTGATGATGATCTGAATTTCCATGCTCCATCTGAAGACGTAAATGGTATATAAAGAGCACGGCTTAACAAGGTTCTAGTGTGTGTATTCTGGAAGGTGTCCAAGTACCACACAAACTTTTTGTTTTGGGATTTCACTGAAATAAATAGATGAAGCATTTTCAGACTGATAATTGGTAATGAGAGTTTACATGACAGTATTAAAGATAATGGGATTATATTGATAAGCTTTGGCATGTCAGGGTATCTAATTGCAAATAATCTGGTCTTCTCATGTCACAGCATTCATAGATGCACTAAGATATATCCAGAACATAGATAACTCGAGGGGGTCTGAAAAGAGAGTGGTGAGGAGAATATGTTGCATAAGAGTCAGGAAATAGCAAGGATTTGGAGAAAACTATATAATGAGAGGAGAATGGGATGGTTGGGGCATGTAACATGTATGGGAATGGTGGAAAATGTTTCCCAAATCTTGTTCTGAAAAGTTGAGGGAAGGGTAACTTTCGGAGGAATGAGAAGGTATTAAAAATGAATCTCAAAGACTGGATATGTTTCGCTCATCATACTCCATTGGTGGGCTCATGCAAACACTGTCGTCACAGGATTCTATAATACTGTCGCGTATCGGACGTATATCGCGACAAATAACTTCACACCGTATTTTATATAGCGAATTTTATTTCACATTCGCTCTTACAATTACCCAAATTACAGATTTACGATTACTGCTATCTGCAGTATCACAATTGGTACATTCCAGATGCCAGAATACAACTGACTGTGAATAGCCTTCGCTGCTCCCCATGTAGCCTTGATCGGACCATACGGAAAACGGCCACGTAATAGGCACCCTTGTTGCCTGGCGCCGTGTTGCTAGTAACGCTAGCGGTAGTAGCCGCTGTTACTACCGTAACAATCCTGTTGCATCACCGTTACGTTACCGTGCGGAGGAGGGGGAGGGGAGCGCTGACTCACCCGCCGCGTCACTGCTGGTGGGGGGGTGGGGGGTTCTCCTTTGCGCAACATGTCACAATACGTAGGTAATTTCATGATTGTGGAGTTGCTGTTGGGTTCTCAAAAATTACTCTTCTTCATGGAATTGGCTGCCTTGCTGTAACTGTTAGTTTACTGTAAAGTAGGTTTTCCAGTAAGGAGTGCGGTTGTGAAGCTGTGCACTTCTTAGAGAGTCTGACATGAATCATGTAGTCTGCTGGGTTGCAATGTCTGTAATTCAGAGAGAATCCAAAGACCTGGAGGAACTGCCTACAGCTTCAGGTTCAGAGAATAAGCCAGGTGAGAAACAAGCAGAAGCAGGCGACTAGCATAGTATATTAAACATACAACCAAGAAGACTGTATTCTTCATAATCACCCACGGTGTGACATAGGTCTTCCAGTGTTTTGCATCTTGTACTTTGTAGTTACAGCCATTTCAGCTACATCATGAATGTCATATTTTGGAACTCATTATACACTGTGCAGATGATGTTAATAATGCTTGTCTGATTCTTTTTAATATGCCGAATGTTGTACTGCAGGGTGGATGTACCATTGTGTGGAGTCACTCGGAGAGAAGAGCCAGCGTGAGAGCGTAGCAATTCATTGTCTGCAAAAGTCTATTGAAGCTGATCCTAAGTCTGGCCAGAGCCTCTATCTGCTGGGTCGCTGCTTTGCTAGCATTGGCAAGGTGCATGATGCCTTCATTGCTTATCGCAATTCAGTTGAGAAGTCTGAAGGAAATGCTGACACCTGGTGTTCAATAGGGTAAGTTCAAGGAAGCTGAATTCTGTAGAAGTCTTGTGACAGCTGTGGTTGTGTGGCTGGCAAGTAGGTTTAAAATCAACTCCACTGCAGTGGTAAGTCACAGCTTGTATGACATTAGAGAGTTGGAACAGTGGAAGACTAAACTTGATACAGCTTTATCTAATTTATTACGGTGATTCGTGCTCCATGCTAAATATATTTTAGTACCGTGACATTTGAACAGTTGGGTAGATTCATTTTCACCAAATCTAATGTAATGGTTATATTGACAAGATGTAATTCTTGGAGTAGTGCATTTCCTCTATATCATGATATTCTGCCATAGCACAGTCATTCTGGAGTTGAGATGTATATCGTAAGATTTGAGATGTATATCCTTCACATGTAATTCTTCGTAAGATGTTTTACATTATTCTTCCCTTTTTCGAGAGACCGCCTCTGTCGTGTAGTGGTCAGAGTATCTGCCTACATAACCAGAGGTCTCAAGCTCGATTCCCAGCACTACCAGATTTTCTGAGAAGTAGTGGGTCTGGAACAGTGTCCACTCAGCCTTATGAGGATAATTGAATAGATATTTCAAGAAAATAGCAGCTCCTGTCTAGAAAACCGAGATTAATGGCCATGGGGATCCATTGTGTTGACCATGTGACATCCTCTATCTGCAAAAGTTGGCACTAACTTTGCTGACAAGCGATGGTCGCTTGGTTGGTATAGTTCGTTTGTGGACTACAGGCCACGAAATTTGTAGTTTGTTTTCCCTTTGGAGAATTTATCTTCTCCTTCATAAGAAGAATTATAAGAAAATATATACCAATGGTTGTATTATGTTGATTGTGGACATGAATATGAGAATTTTAAATAGAAAAATTATGAATGCAGTAGGAACAAATGGGGAACCAGCAGTTAATTGTAATGGCAAAAAAAAAATTAACCCTACAGCATGGTTTTAGACACACCGTTAATCGGATATTTAAATGCCCTGTTTGCAGTATCATATGCAGTGTACTTTCTACTGCAGGATTAATTTATCTGCCCTCTAGCCTAGGAGTGATATATTTTTTTGAGATGAGTTTTTGCATCAAGCTGTAATGAAAATGAACTCTGTGAATGTATTAGTGACCTTAATTGTTAGTGCAGCTGGTGACTCAAACTTTTAATTTAATCAACTGGCATCACAGTTATTGTAATTGAGCCTGCAGCCAACCATATGCTTATAACAGAGTTTTAAATTATTGTAATTGTAAATTAAGTTTTGGACGATGATATTAAGGAGCAGTGTAGTTCAGGTGATGATGATTATACCCAATTTGTGACTCATGGAACACAAGTAGCAACAGTGACAGTGTCAGTATAATTGATGGAGTCGAATGGAGACTGTGACACATGATAAACAAGGCATAGAAATGGGAAGGAATTCAGTGATGTTTGAGTAGAAATACACCAGGATGCTATCTGCAGTACAGGGAATATTTTGTGGTATCCATGGCCCACAGTTCGACATATCTAATTGGATATTGTCAACATACTTGAAACTATATTTGACAGAGCCCTGATGCAGCTAATAGTAAATGAAACCAACAAATCATTCAAACTCTCTGAACCTAGCAGGGGCTATATTTGGTCGTACCTTATAAATACAGGACATTACATGGCACTGACAAGTCAGTATGTGAATGCAGACACTCAGCAACAGTTACAGAGTTGGTGGAACATCTTCACCATCGTGGTCATATTGTCTGGATGAACAGTATTTTTATAATTATCCAGAGTTGGCTTGATTTTAGAAATCCAAAGGTGTGCAGACTGTGTAGGCACAGTCTGTGTTATAGAAACAGGAAACGCCCCCCCCCCTCCCCCAAAATAAAGAATGAAAGATTGATGGAAGGAGAGCATTGCAGGCAGTCAGTATTCAGGGGGTGTAAGAGTGTACTATGGCAGGATAAGAAGAGAGGTACTGTGATTTGATAAACCAAAATGATGAAATGTACTCAAAAGTAAATAAAGCAAATAATGAAAAATAAAACCTGTAGTTGTTTATGACTACGATTGAAACATGGGAGCAAATCATCTTAGAGATCAGATGCTACAGCCTTATTTGCTTGAGCAAATGAAGGTTCCAAGTGGTACATGAAATTATTCTAAAAGGGTACAAAATGTACTTATTCATAATTCTGTAATAGTCTACCATTCCATGCCAGACAGTAAAGGAATAGACCCTATGAAATTCATGCCCCTTCTAATACAAGGTCTTGTATAGAAACATGAGTCCAGTGTCCCTTGCCCTCTGTATGGTCAGCTTTCAACTGAACTGTCCCCAAAGAGACTGACTGAACTTCATATTGTAGAGCAGATTCCTGCCATAGGAAAAAATTCTAATTCACAGAGAAGATGCTTAATTTACTGAACATAACAGAAAACGCATAGAAACAGTTTATGGTATGGCAAATGTGAAGCAGATTTGTGTTTGGATGGATGGTTCTAGAGGTATCACACAAATCTCCACATCTAATCTGGTTGCTTTCCACTTGTATATACAGGATGTTCATTTAATAAGTGAAGGTATATTTTTTCAGCTCTGTGCGAAAAAAATAATTATGAAATCATGGTGTAAGTGATTGGTAATGAAGGTTTGGAAATTACCATGTGATTGGTTATGAAGGTTTAAACTTTTAGTGTAAAACTTTATGTGGCCATACAAAATACACGACTGTAGTACAGCGTCGAGCAGAGTCCATTTATTATATGTTCCATTGACCCAATTCCTATGTGAATGTAATAAATTTATATTCTTTCGCTGAAACATGTAAAGTGAAAACAATATGTAGAGGAATTGTGTCGACAGAACATACAATAAATAGTTCACACTCAGCATGACACTCAAATACAGTATTGCTAGCATTGCGCATAATGTTTAAATGCCTTCATTGAAGGGTCAGTCAACTTATGCACATAACACAATTTTAGAATAATGAACAGGTTATGACATCACAGCAGCATCACAAAAATGTTCCTACATTTTCATGGTAAGGTAGAAGAAATAAATTTATTTCATAGCAGATGAAAAATCACCAAAATTTTTACCAGCTCTTGAGGGTTCATAGAGGGACTTGAACTGAACTAGACTACTATTTGGTATGCACCAAATTCAGCAAAACCCATATTTTACAAAATGTTGAAATATGAAACAAATTTGACGTAATATGTTGACAGAATACAAGGGGCGCACACAGTAGTGTAGTTGGCTGAGCCCCTCTGCTACGTCCCAGAAGGTCGCAGGTTTGGTTCCCGATGAGGCCATTTGATTATTTTCCATTGACCCAAGCCTTCCAGACGCACTGTGGCCCTGGGGTCAACTCAGCCTCTAACAGAAATGAATACCAGGAATCTTCCTTGGGGTAACGGGTGGCTGGCACATAAGGCTGACAACCTCACCACCATCTGTGAGCCGATTGTATAGAAAATGTGGGAGCCTCAATATCTCACAACCCTATGGGCCTCCACTGCCTATTGCCTTTATGTCTGCTGAGTATAAGAAACACTATGTGAACTCTTAAAAATTCAGAATCTATGCAGCTCAGCATACTTAGGAAGTTATTTGAAATCATTATTGGATGAATGGAATAGATCCAGAACTCCTTGACTGCTAGACAGACAATGGCAGTATCCCGCACATAAGATGTAAGGGTTACACTTAAGGGACTGGGCTTCACAGGAAGCTGGCAGAGGCTTATTTTGCACATCATGCAAATTTTGTGTACTTAGTGTAATGGTTACACAGCCGTGACTCTAGTCATCGTGAATTAGGTAGTGGTTTATCCTTCACATCCAAAGTAATGATTGTACTGCCTTGACTTTGGCACGAAAGTCTTCACATGTGCAACCTGTGTTGTTTGTAAGGGTGAAGTCATTTTGACAGGAAAGGTTGTAAGTGATGCATCTTGCCCTTGTACTGTGTCTGTTGTTAGGACTTCTGAACATGATTTTAAAATATTTGATAAGTGGTTTGGAGAAATATTTTGAATGTGGATTCAATAAGTGGGAATGGAACTTGTGATTTATGCAAGTCACGTAGCACTGTTAAGCGTGGAACTTTGTATTGTTGTGATGGACTGGTGTGTAACTCAGTGGGGTAGACAAAATATACAGCCATTTGTAGAAGTCGCATTTTGTGATGGGCTGGAATGTAACTCTGATGGCCTAGAAAAATGCACACAGAATTTGTACAATAAACTCTTGAAAAAATTACAATTTGAAAGAATAAGTAGAAAATGGGTGGATAATAATACGTATCATATCGTCCAGTGGTGCACGTGGTAGTGTAGTTGGTTGAGGCACTGCTACAAGCTGGAAGGTCATGGGTTCGAATCCTGATGAGGTGGATTTTTTCAGTTTACCTAATCCTTCCAGCCACACTACGGCCCTGGGGTCAACTCAGCCTCTAACAGAAATGAGTACAAGGAATATTCTTGGACTATTCTTGGAATATTCTTGGTGTAAAGGGCGGCCGGTGCATAAGGCTGACAGCCTTACATCTCACAACCTTATGGGCCTCCAGGGCCTGTTACAGGGATACCTTTACTTTACTTTTACTTTTATCATGTCCAGTGGTTGGGTTTCTTTGCAATTGGTTATTTCGGTGGTTGGTTAGCAGAACCTGAACTGAGAAAGTATTCCCTTTACTAGTTTTCATTTTATCTTTTCATTTGTTGCTCACTTTGAAATACAATATACTGCAATAAATTTGTTTGTGTGCAGTGTCCTCTACCAGCAGCAGAACCAGCCTATGGATGCACTGCAAGCCTACATATGTGCCGTGCAGCTTGACAAGAGTCACACCGCCGCGTGGACAAATTTGGGTTAGTCTGAAGCCATAAATCAGCACCTACAAAGGATATCCCATTGACTGTACCATTTTATTATTGTAAATTTGTCTTTAGTTTGATAAAAACAGCGGCAGTTTTCTATTAAAACTGGGTGTTAGTACATGGCAGTTAGCAGTTTTACTTCATCCTTGGTAGGTACTGAGTCAGATACTGGCTTTGGAGACTAGCTGTGTTGAGCAATGATTTTCATGTACTTCATCAGTCTCTCAGGCAAATACAGTTGTACTATCTTAAAATGGGGCCTCAACTGAATATGTCAGTATAAACCTTCATTCATTTAATGTTGAATGCCAATGATTCCCCCTACCAGATTTTCTGAGAATTAGTGGGTCTGGAACGGGGTCCACTCAGCCTTGCCTGGATAATTGAGGAGCTGTTTTAAGGAAATAGTTGCTCCAGTCTAGAAAACCGATTAACGGCCATGGGGATCCGGTGCGCTGACCATGCGATGCCCTCTATCTGCTAAAGTTGGCACTAACATCGCCAACAAATAGCGGTGACTCCGTCAGTATAGTTCGCTTGTGGACTACAGGCCACAGAGTTTGTTTTTTGTTTGTTTTGCCAATGATTCCAAGGCAGTGATCTTAATGTTACTAGGTTTGAGGTTCCCATGGTGGTGACTTGTGGGATCTGAAACTGCATTGTCTTGTGGACATTTACCAGCATTTGCAGCAAATGTATTGCATGATGCATTTGATTGTCTGGCTTTCACTATAATCCAGAAAATGGGGGCAGTATGTTTCTCTAAAGGGGTGGTAAACTTCTACAGACTACAGCGAATTTGTGATTTTATGCTCTGGATTCTAGATTTTTCACAAATTTACCTGCTTATGGCATGGGGGCACAAGGTAGCATAGTTGTTTGAGGCACTATGCTACAAGCCGGAAGGTCGCGGGTTGAAGTCCTGATGAGGTCGTTGGATTTTTTTCAATTGACCTAATCCTTCCAGCTGCACTATGGCCCTGGGGTCGACTCAGCCTCTAACAGAAATGAGTACCATTGGAATATTCTTTGAGGGTAAATGGCGGCCGGCGCATAGGGCTGACAACCTTGCCACCATCTATGAGCTAATTGTCTAGAAAATGTGGGAACCTCAACATCTCACAACCCTATGGGCCTCCACGGCCTGTTACAAGGATACCTTTACTTACTTTTACCTACTTATGGCATGGTCCCGGTCCAGATGTCCTTTAATGGATATCACATGTCCTCAATTGCACATATTTCCTGAATTTGCACTTCATTTTTCTAGCCCTCACTATGAAAATTTACCAGATTTTACCTTTTGTAGTTCAGTCCTCAAAGTTTGAGGCAACAGACTTACTTCCTTGTTAGGGATCTCAAATGGTTCGCTATAGCAATATGTAATACCAATTGGCTGGTACACAGCTGCAAGCGATTTGTGTGCACCATATGACTTCAATGATGCCTGTTGTACAAGAGAGAATTTTTGCACCGCTGTAGTCCAAGCAGCTTGTGCATCAGACCATCTTTGATCTTGATGCGTCCTCATATAACTGTAACTCGGCTATAGCTGTGCATGTGAGTGTTCTAAAAAGTGATCATTGCAATACGAGTGTATTTTCATAAGTAAAACATTCAGCAGAATTGCACCTATGTTAATTCCTCAGTCTTCCAGTGCTCATGTGACTTCAGTTCGAATTTTGTTTTCAGTTAAGATGTTTTCACTGCAAGAGGATGAAATATGGATAATATAGGAAAACAAAAATCATTTAAATTAAGCAGTAAAATATATGTTTTAGCGCAAGTTTGCTCCGCATGTTCGCACGTGTTAAACTGGTTAAGTCGAGGAGGATGAGATGGGTGGGGCATGTAGCATGAATTGGGCAAAAGGGAATGTATATATGATATTGGTGGGAAAGCCAGAAGGAAGGAGACAACTAGGAAGGCCAAAATATGAGAGGGTGGATAATATTAGAATGGTTCTTAGAAAGTTAGGATGGGGTGGTATGGACTGGATTGATCTGGCTCAGAATAGGACCCAATGGAGGCTCTTTTGTGAACACAGTAATGAATCTTCAGATTCCATAAAATGCTGGGAAGTTCTTGAGTAGCTGCATGACTATCGGCTTCTCAAGAAGGGCTCAGCTCCATGGAGTCATTTAAGGAATGTACCATATTTGCCAGTCTGTCCAGACAAATTCTGGGATGGTACATTGAAATAGAGTATGACCATTTTCTTACCTACCCTTTACATTCGTTTGTTACAATCACCCTCTCACTTTACTGATGCCACATAAAAGCATCATAACGTAAACCAAGGACCATATTTATATCTATATATACTTAGTTAAGTTTTCAGACATGTATTTTTAAATCTTGCAAAATTATGGTATAAAGAAAACCAAATTTTCTTTACATGATGTTCCTCACTTTTGGCTTCTGATCCCCCGCTGTCCAAAGCAGTCGTAAATGTGGGTTTATTGTTATTTCATTTCCACTTAAATATTCATAGTCCAACCAGTTTACATTCATTCATCAGTAATCTGCCAAGACGACAGGTCCACAGTCTCTTCCAAAACAGTTCCTCCACTTGATGCGATCTAGAGCTTTCTCCTTCAAATGAAAATATCCTCTTCTGTCCCCAAGGTCATCCAGCATCTTCTTACGTTTTTTTTCTCGTCTTCTGGTCACTTCTATCCGCCCCTCTATCTTTCCTTCAGTAACTTCTTTTAGAAGTTCAAGTACCTGGGGTTTGATTCCTGGTAGGGACTAGAGATCTTGCTCTTCTCCATAATGACTTCCCTGGGCGTAAAGTGGCAGGGCTTTGAATCTGACCACTTACCCACATATAGTGCTGAGGTTAAGAATGGCAGAGCTGTACCTTCAGCCCCCGTATACCCCCACACATCTTCGTGGTGTTGTCCTCAATGAAATAAGGCCAGGGGTAACTTTGCTTTTTATTGTTCTTGAAAAATCAAAGACTGGTGACCGTGTCACAACATTTTGCATACATAATCTGGGGGTTTAACATATAAGGTGTTTAATTTTGTGTAATGGAAGTGGACAGAGTTGAGATGTGCAGAGTTGCCATATCTCATAGTAGAGGAATTTAGTGTGAGATGTAAGCTCATGAAAGTTTGAATGTGCTTGGACTAGAATTTAGACAACTGATGAAGCATTTCAAGACTTTAAGATCTGAGGTTCGTATATCTGTTTTTTATGAATGTTACTACCCTCAGAGATATGACACTACATATGTGGTAGATATTAACTGATGTGTTGGAGGAAAAAGTTGCCTTCATCTTCAGGGCTGAAAGTATTGTAACATGTTTAGTTACTGAAGACAGACTTCTGGATTGAGATGCTGTGCAGTTGGTACCACTGTTTCAAAGGAGCATGCTGTCTCAGTCATCAGGGTAAAAGTGGAGTTAAAGAGGTGGTGTATTTTCTCTGAATGACACAGTAGGTTACTCCATATAGTGGGGCCTGTCTACCAAACTACACTGCAACACATCCCAGAAGAAAGTTATCTTCATTTCTAAGCCCTGTTCACTGGGGCTGCATTCATTGCATTTTCCATAATTTGTGATATGAACGTAGTACAGATTATTTAGTTTGATGTGCAATATGTTTGTAATTGACCTTTGAGAGCCAAGTGTGAGAAAAAGTTTGGGCAGGCAGGAAATTCAGAAATGTCTTATTATTTATACACAAATTAGGTTCTTTCCCTTGTTCCCTTGTCCAGTCATAAAAGGGGAAAGGCGGTTTGCAGCGCACTGTTGGGCATTGTGTTAATAGTTGGTAATCTTATGTTGCAGGTATCCTTTATGAGAGCTGTAACCAGCCACGTGACGCATATGCCTGCTACGTGAACGCAACACGTGGAGGAAGCTCAAGTCCAGGAGGGCCTGTGAGCCCCAACAATAACAGTGTGAATAGTAACGGAGGAGCCACACTGGTTGCAACATCAACACCAGGTGGCCGAGTGCCTGGGGGCATGAATCCTAACCTGGGGCACCGAATCAAGTTCCTACAAAGTCATCTTGCCAATCCACCCATGCCTAGTATCACCAGCAAGTAAGTGCTTATTAGATTAGATCAGTGGTATATTTCTCTTGAATAACTGGAGTTTGTGGTTTATTGGTACTCTTCCACTTCTTTCCATGTATTTCCCAGTTCCTCCTCATATTTATCCCATAATATCTTAATGTACATTCTACATACTTGATAATTTGTTATTTTGTAAACCAGAACATTTCCTCAGGAAAGACTGTGAAGATATGGCATGAACATGATAGAGGAGTTGTGGGTTATAATGAGAACTTTATTGTATTAACAAACAACAGCACTGTGAATTTCTTAACATTGCATGCATGGCAAAACTTATAGGAAACAAGGACTTTCTTCACTATTATGAGTGATCCTCTGACTTTTACTTCATTCCCAAACTATTCATATCAGGCAGTTTGTAGAGTATTCTTAACCAGCCCTCTGGGTTTCTCAGGCGATCGTGCCTGAGGAGTGTAGTGTTGAAGAGTGGTATTCTGTGGGCAAAAGGACTCAGTGCACAGGATATTCATAAAAATATATACTGTGTATGGTGGGAAGTGTTTGTCACATAAAGCAGTTCACAGCTAGTCAAGAAACTCTCTCTAGGATGTTCAAAAGTTGCAGATGATGCCTGACCAGATGCAGAAGTGGCTGAGACAACAGTCAAAAGTCTTCTATGCTGAGGGTTTCAGCGCACTGGTAAAGTGATGGTACAAGTGTATCAGTGTTGACAGAGGATATGTTGAGAAGCAAAGTTTTTTTTTTTCTTCAAGTTTGAATATCATGTGTTCCACATTTTATATCCAATTCTGACCTATTTACTGACTCCCTCTCATATTATGTGTTGCTTGCCTGGTGAACATTTATTGAACACATTTCTGTGATTCTACCGTGAATTGTTTAAAAAGTGACTCACTGTGGTAGTATCAAAATATAAACATTTAGGGTTGAATGTGAAGCTGCAACTAATGTGCCTCCATGAAGTCAGTCACTCGTCAAACAGCAACATATGAATACAGTATGGATTGTCTTCTTGACTATTGTTCATTGTTTTGCTATGATGCGTCGAGTCCTTGTCTTATGTGATGTTTTTCCATGCATATGTAACTTTAAGAAACTGACAGGCTTGATGATTTCTGTTGCCATACTTATTCTATTGTGGTCTGAACTTATACTTGATTAAGCGCCTCCTCTTGTTCTCACCTGGTTTACATGTAAACATGGAAATGAGGAATGAATTGTGCATCAGAATTGCATCTCTTTAACTGGCTTCTCTGCATCCTCCAGGCGTCGGCAGTTGCCGTCAATAGAAGAGGCATGGAACCTTCCAATCTCTGCTGAAATGTCTTCACGACAGCAGCAACAGCAACAACAACAGCAGCAAAATTCATCCATTGTCCAGCAAAGGACCACTGGCCCAGCTTTTCAGAAAGCATACGCACAGGTAAGGTGGGAGATAACCTTAGTGATTCGTGTATAGGTATCTGTGGTTAACAGTTACTGACAGTAACAGTATGTTATGGTCTGTATGCTTGGAAAAGCATATCAATATGCCTTCCAGGTAGGTAATTGATAACGTTGGTACCCATGTATTAAAAGATACCCAACAAGCACGTGTGAGAGAATATTTTGTCAGCTTTCAGGAATTAGTGAATTTTGTTTGTAAATTTATTTCTTCCTTACCATGGTTAGAAAAGAAACTGAAAGTAGAACCAACTCCCAAAATGTCGTGTATAAAATATGTATCGTGTAGGGAATAATGTGCATCATAGTATTCGTGCAGTAACTCACCAATTGTAATAACATACTCAGAAACCTGTAAATAAGTTACAAATTAATGATTCCACTATTTTGTTTCTAGGCTGGGCAGCAGCAGTTCCATAATGGTCTGAATGGTCATCATCAAGTTTCACCACAGGGACCACCTCCACCCTACCCTGTGCATACTGTGAATCAAGTGACGAAGAGATTTAAGGTGAATATGTGGCTCTTGTCAATGAAACTTTGATGTGATATGGTTTACTTAACTTCTAGTTTTTTAAGCACAGAATCCACATCCCTATCAAAAGTATACAGAGACATGAAATTTGGGGACATGTATATGATACTAAAAGAAGACAATAATTGTTGTCCTTTTTCTTTTTACACATAGTGCAAGCTGATGTCGCAGGTTGTGTTTCTGTATTTTTCTGTCTGATAATACTGAATAGATTCTGATGAAAATTTGGTACTGGAAGTCTAAATTAAAATTATACACAATTTAATTTTCATTTGCTCAAAAAAACATACTCCATTACTTTAGTCCTCAAGTGAACTATACTGACCAAGGGACTGGTGTTTGTTTGGTGAAGTTAGTGCAGAAGTTTCATTAGCTCAATCCAATGTATCAAGTGGATCTTGTATCACCATGGCATGATGTGTCTCCACGTTACAAATGTAAGATATGGCCACCAGATATGGAAGGTGGTTACGAATGTATTGAGTATGCATTTATGGACAGCTGCCATTATTATTGGTCCGGCTTGGGGATTGGATGGGGCTGAAGTCAATTTCTAACCTTAAGAGAGAGGCAGTTACAGAAAGTTACATGTGGCCTCCAACTTCTGTGGATTCATTAGAGTAAACCCCCCACTGGAAAATAGCTGTGTGATTTGAGATTTGTAATGTTTGGAGTCTCAATAGATCTGTTTCATTGAAAACGATAGGAAGAGAATGAAGAAAGTAGTGCTAGCGAGGCCATGCGATTGCTTAGGCTCGTGATAACCAGTTTCCCCTCACAGTGGCCTGGGTTGAGGTGGGGTTTCTATGAGGTCTTCAGTTTCTCATGTCACCAGTTGCCGTGCTTCCATTATTCACCCTGTTATCTGATGCTGTATAGTCTCAGTGCTGATAGTGTAGTTAAGCAACTAACTTAAAAAAGGGTTAAGAGTTGGTGGGATCACAGGAGGTTTGGTGGGAAAGTATATTATAAATTATTTATTTTTTAATGGAAGTGGTAATCATTATGGGCAGGGTTCTTTTAATATATAAATGGAGTATGTCAGCCGTTAAGATAACAGAGTTTGTTATTGATGGGATATTATGTTGCTGTTGTGATAATTATTGTTATGTATGTGCACATGGACTGTGATACTGACCACTGTCTGGTGGTTGCAGGAGCTAGAGAAAGAGTGTTGATAGGTAAATGAGCAATGCATAGGTTTGGTGTGGAGGATTTTGTTCTCAAGAAGATAAATCAGCAGCAGTACCTGGTTGTAATCTCCAAAAGTTACGCTGCATTAGAAAACTCAAATGCTAGTATGGACATCAGCAGTGCTCAATAGCGTATTGAAATTATATCAGAAGTTAGCTAAAGAGTGTCTGTGTAATTATGATTGAAAGCATAAACATAGCTTTAGGGAGATTTCTAAAAATTATTGGATTACAGGAGATCATGATTATGGATTTTGGTGTAATAGAACAGCCACTGATCACATATTCTGCATATATTAGATATTGGAGAAGAAGAACTGGAGAACAATGGAGCAGTACATCTGCTATTTATGGACTTCAAGATAGCACATGTTGGAAATTTTGTACAAAATTCTCATTGAATTTAGTATGCCATGACTCTAGTTAAGCTAACTAGGATGTGTTTAAATGAAACCTATAATAAAGTCTGTAGAATAACATTTGTCTGATGCCTTTCATCTTTTGAATGGTCCGAAGTGAGATGTTTTATTACCATAGCTTTTTAACTTTGCGTTAGAAAATTTCATGACAGAGGTTCAAGAAATGTGGGGTAGACTGAAATTGAATGGGACTCATCAGCTTCTGATCTGTGGTGCTGATGGTAATTTATTGGGTGAAAATATAAGTAATGTAATGAGTAACCCAGTAGCTGTATTGAATGTTTAGTGAGGAGATTAGTATAAAGTAAGTGGAGAGAGAACTAAGTGTGTTGATATCTCCACCACCAGAATGCAGGTAAAAATCATAGTAGCTGACATATCTTTAAAAGATGTGACAGAGTTAAGATATTTGGAAAATCAAAACTACGTTTTCAAAGAAATTAAGAACATAATAAAGTTGTAGAATACCTGCCACCTTTCATTTCATACTCTTTTGTCCTTGTTTTCCTCTGAAAATGTAGAAATTAAAATACACAAGACTATACTTTTATGTGTAGTTTTGTATGAGTATGGAAGTTGATGCCTCACTTAAGGGAAGGACATAGATTGAAGGTGTTTGGGCATTGTGTGTTGAGACTATTTTGACAAGAGGGCAGGATATGATGAGAAATGGTGAACATTGTATAGTGAAGTTTATGAATTGCATTTATCACCAAATTTATTAGGAAGTTGAAGTCAAGGAGGGCAAGTTATGTGGCGTGTGTAGCAGGATGGGAGTGTTCAGAATTGTGCATTTTCTTGGTTGAGCTGATCATATGTGGAAGTTGATTATCACTGTAATGAATTTCAAATCAGTCTTTGTAAGTCAGTAAGGGCTGTGAAAAGCCACTGAGTCAATGAACAGGGGATGTAATATACCCCATAGAGATTTTGAAGTCCCATGACTTAATGCTGTGTATGTTTTTGAATAGGCAGAATCAAGTAGTTTGTGAAGTGGTTAATGAAAAAAAGTGGGAATTATGCTTTATATGTGAGCAGACTGGTGGAGAGGTGATAGAGACAAGTCCGCCTGGTGCGCGCGTGCCTCCACCTGGTACTGTCCAACAGAGACCTGCTCCACCTCCATTTTATATGAACCAGCAGCAGCTGCAGATGTTGCAGTATTTGCAGCAGCAGAATTCTGTTAGCCTTGCACCTCAGCAGCAGGTAAATGTTACATTCATTTTTCCAGAGAAAACTTGAGATTAGCAATCTCAGGATGAAGCCATGTTAGCCTGTTATGAATAACACAAAAGAGAATCATCATCGTCATCCTCAGAGATCTTCATAATTGTCTTCATCCTGTGGGTTGATATTTCCTTCCCTCTTCATTAAGTTGTCTACAGCGCATAAGAATATAACACATTATGAGGACTTTAGGCCTGTCCAACTGTCTGTCTAGATGCGTCATCTGCAGAAGTACTTCACAGATTTAATTGTAAATGCATATTTGAGGCCCCACACTGAAAGTTGTATGGCATAATTAATTGTATTTATGTTAATTGAATGTATTTCCAACTTGCAGGAAACTCTTAATTGAAATAAGTAATTTTTTCAAAAACGTCTCATCACCGTACAGAAAATCTGTGCATGTCATGTTGTACAATACAAATGGCTTGCAACTTTTATTGTAAATATTAAACAGATACAAGAAAATGTGAATTGACTGCATATGTTTTGGTGGTTACAGTGGGATGAGCTTTGTGACATTTGCAGTAAATCAGCATGAAGTTTAATGAGGGTTACAAAATACTAGAGAGTGTACTTGGTAAATATTTGTACTTTCTTTTCTGTCTTATCTTCCTTTCATCCTTTTTGTGTTTCTTCCTGTATCACTTTGTGTTGTAATTATTGATCTTATATGTGCAATAGAAATAGCTGATCTCTGAGGAAAGCTTACACAGTATTCATGTGGCTTTATTTGTGTAGGCTCTCCTGCAACAGCTGCAGTCGCAGTACAGAGCAATGCAGCAGCATCAGCAGATGAGGTTGCAGCAGCAACAGAGGGTTGGGGTAGTACAGTCGCAGCAACAGCAGCAGCCATCTCTGACTCAGTATGGCACCTATCAGCAGCAACAGAGTTCTGTCATCAAGACATACACCATGCCCCAGCAAACGGTTAGTTGAAGCAGAGTAGAGCATATGCAGTATCTCTCTCTATGGATAAAAATGTTATATAACAGTGGATCAGAGCTCTGAAATATGCAGTTTCAGGTTACAGTAGTAATGAAGTGTAGAATATCGCATGAACATGATTTATGAAGTAGGTTATGAATGAGCAAGTTGTCTTTTGTTTCTAATAAGAAGTAAGTAGTTTCTCTGGAATCTGCCTGTGACAGATGGGTTTCGTGTATTAATTTTTTCCATTCACCACTGATTACAACAGGCTGTATCTCAGTAAACTCTGTCCACCTATGCCTCCTGTTAATTTCAAGCACATAACACCAAAATAATGGGGTATATATGCATGCCTGATATCTTAAGTCACCTGATAGAAAATAAAGAGGAATATTTTGTTTAGTGGTGCAATGCCTGCCAGCTGTCATAGCCTAAACATGTATGGGTAACCCCTAATTATAACAAAACATAGAACTTTACTAATTCTTCTGCAGAATTCTGTTATAAGTTGTGTTTCTTTTAATAGGGAATGGATTCCTGTATTAATTTTACCATTGATTTCAGTAGACTGTTCTCTAGGTCATCTAAAATCAGTTTATTGAATGTGAGAGCCAAGATTTGAAAAATGTTCTTCAGTTTGTAGTTCACATATTTACTACCCACATATTGTCAACTGTCTGTAGTAACCCTTACACTGGTGCGGTCAACATATGTCGATCTCTGAAAAACATGGCGTCCTTGTTACGATTGACAAAACCCATTTCTTTGCACCAGTCTCATTCAAACTTGGCGGGTGCATAGAGTCATCTATTGGGAACGTAATGAAGCATCATTCATTTCAATGGCTGCATTCTTCTGCCCTCTAACTTAAGAAATTTAAAAGGTTTCATCTGCACAGCGAGGCATGTGCTCCATGGTCATGTGGCACGGGTATTTCACAGGGCTAGTAAAAATGGCTTTGTATAGTGCGCAGTGCTTTCTATAATACTTTTAAATAAAATTGGTCAACATGTGACTTAGTGATAAGACTAGGATAGTGAATTATGTCCTTTTTGGGCCATCTTGGACAACCCTGATTTAATTGACTTTTCCCCTGTGAGAAATATTGAATAATTCAACATTTTTGCAACTTCTGATGCCTGTTCCCTGTCTGAGGTAATATTAGTTACATTTTATCATAAATTTTCGTACTTTGCACTTAAATTATTTATAAAAGATTTATTCAAAAATAATTCAGCTCAGAGGGTACTGAGAGTTAACATACTAGCAGTGAAATGGTTAAAAGTGTGCATGCATTAAATGCACACTGGTTTGGGTACCTCAGCGAATACTGTCGCAGCTTTACTGGAATTTCAGTTGCACTTTTCAGGAAGTGCATAGCAGTGTACCATACACACATGTAAGGTTCCTGTCATGTCATGCTCACTTTGTGTGTTGGGCAGAGTTCTTGCGAAGTGTACTGCACAAAGCGGAATGCACGAGAAGTAAATATGTGGGCATCATGCATGTTCTTGATCCTGTATATGTGATATATTTAGCATGTTACACAATATACCAACCACACATCTCCACAGTGAAGAGGTGCTTGGCAAAACTGCAAAGGGTTTTTGGACACCACACATTACCTGCAGTACACTTGTAATAGGAATGTACTCAAAATGTATGGGTCAGTCTACACAACAATAGTTCTGAGAAAAAAATACAAAATAGGCACTACCATAGTAATAATACCACCAAGGGGAACAGTATATATATACACAACAGAAAATTTGAATATATAAGTACACACACTAAATAGCCCATAGAATTCCCTTCATAACTCTCACACACAGGCTATATATTATAATTTAAATTGTTACAGCCAACTCCACATATAAAGAACCTGAGAGGAATTATAATAGGTAACCATTATAGATACGAATATACAAGACGTCCTACATAATATCAATTGTAATATATGTAAAACAGAGTACAACTCATTTTCCAGGAAGGTAAAAAACCAATAGGACCCAGATTCTGAGGAAAGATCCCAGCACACAGTTACCCACATCACAGCTATCACTAACACAGTGGAACAACCGACAGTATATATACGGATATGTAGCGGTCACAAATATCATAAACAAGACCCATAATTTTAGGTATAAATATCTTAATCGCCATTTTAATTTTAATTTTTTCCTTTTAATGTCAAGTTTTAACTATATTTGAACCACATTTAAATTAAAGTGTATTTGTTACTATAAAATTTCATACGAACACAATATGAATTCATATTGATCGACGCAATTCAGGAACTAATACCACTATTCTTGTATGCCTGAAGATGACCCAGGAAAAGGGCAGAAACATGCAGCATTGCCACCAACAGCTAATAAAACAAATGATGACAAAGTAGTGCCTATTTTTTTTTTCTTTAAAACTGTTGTGTAGACTGACCCATTATATGCCTTTCCTATGATACACAAGAGGATGTATACCATTAAAGGAATGTATTTATTTTTGGAACATCACAAATTTAAATATTGGCCTGAATATTGTCTGAGTGGGTGTTCTTTTTTCTCCTGAACTGTAGTTTCAGGATAAAATCTTGCCTTAAAATAGTCTCATATAATTGATGTTGGAGTTCTTCTCAGGCACTTAACAGTGGCTGTCCTAGTATTAAGAACAGTCCACTTTCTGATATGAGAAACTTGTATACCTCAGAGATTTCTTTTGATATGAGTGCTCCAAACAGAGAATTATGCCCTTATTCAATGGGTGCAGGAAGCATGTCATATTTGTGGATGGAAACATGACATCTTTGTGCTTGAGGCCCTACTGTATGTGATTTATTTGATATTTTATTGTGAGACACAGTGTCATCAGTACATCTAAAAATCAGACTTTGTGGTATAGTGGTCAGCACTTCTTCATATTTGAGATATGCTGGCTTGTGATTTCAGTGTGAACAATGGATATCCTGACTAAGGATTTTTAACGTTTTCCTGAGACCTTCCAGGGAACTTGTAGTATAGTGTAATGTCTTGAAATTTTCCATAAACATTTCATGGATCCTTGTATCAGAATTCACATTTCATCCTGTCAACCAATGTTTTATACTTTATAATTCATTCATTTACAAAATTGTCACTAACCAGAATTGCAGTATAACTTGTTGTTGACTAGACTGTAAAAAAGTGCCAAGGTTCTAGAAGCTGATTTTTTTTTNGTGTCTGCCCACCCTCACTTTCTCTACTTGCTGACGTGACTGTCCTGGAAGAATACGACCGCGGGCTGCAAGAGGAGCGTGGGTTTTATGCGAAAACAAGGGTGTGGGGTGGGACTGCGTGAATAGTGCAAGAGGACGCGGCAGGTTGTTAACTGCATTCCTTTCCTAGAATCTCGTCTAACAGGACCTCACATTGTCTACTTACCCTATAGTGTTCCTGCCTAAACCCATAGAAGTGCAGTAGCGAAAACATGGCAATGAAAAGGAAAGTTTTAAGCATTGAAGAGAAAGTTAAAGTGATTCGTGAAATATTGTGTGTATTGTCAGTGAAAAGCGCTGTAATATGTCTTTGATATTACACATTTGGAGAATTCCACGTTAATGTTACGTTAGTCTGTACTTAACTACGTATTTCACTAAAAAATGCAACATTTTAACTCGGTTTTTGGTAGATTTTTACGTGACTAACGTAAGGCTACTGTGGAAGTGCCCATTTCAGTTACAACGACATTTGTTTATAACGACACTATTTTTAGGTCCCTTTGATGAGGTTATAACCAAGTTCTACTGTATTTATTTTTGGAACATCTGAAATTTAAATATTGGCCTGAATATTGTCTGAGTGGGTGTTCTTTTTTCTCCTGAACCATAGTTTCAGGATAAAATCTTGCCTTAAAACAGTCTCATATAATTGATGGTTGAGTTCTTCTCAGGCACTCAACAGTGGCTGTCCTAGGATTAAGAACAGTCCACTTTCTGATATGAGAAACTTGTATACAGAACAGTCCACTTTCTGATATGAGAAACTTGTATACCTCAGAGATTTCTTTTGATATGAGTGCTGCAAACAGAGAATTATGCCCTTATTCAGTGGCTGTAGGAAGCATGTTGTGGATGGAAACATAACATCTTTGTGCTTGAGGCCTTACTGTATGTGATTTATTTGATATTTTATTGTGTGACAGTACATCTAAAAATCAGACTTTGTGGTATAGTGGTCAGCACGTCTTCATATTTGAGATATGCTGGCTTATGATTTCAGTGTGAACAATGGATATCCTGACTAAGGATTTTTAACGTTTTCCTGAGACCTTCCAGGGAACTTGTAGTATAGTGTAATGTCTTGAAATTTTCCATAAACATTTCATGGATCCTTGTATCAGAATTCACATTTCATCCTGTCAACCAATGTTTTATACTTTATAATTCATTCATTTACAAAATTGTCACTAACCAGAATTGCAGTATAACTTGTTGTTGACTAGACTGTAACAAAGTGCCAAGGTTCTAGAAGCTGATTTTTTTTTTTTTTGTTCATCCTCAGCAAGGAACAGTAGCACCTCAGACTGGATTTGCGGACACCAGTGTTGGATACTCTGCCGCAGCCACTGCCAACACGCAGCAATCACCTGGAATGCCTTACAAGTCTGCTACAGTAGATCACCAGTTGGCATACCAACAACGCAGCACCACCCAGCACCATCAGCAGCCACAGTACCAGTATGTTGGACAGACAACTACCACTGGCTACACCCAGGTTGGTATTGTGTTGGAAAACTATTGGTGCCAATTATCTCCAGCAGTGCAGAAATCTTACAGAGGCTCATATAAATACAAGGAGAACATTTCTTAGGGTTGCCAGTTCTGTAGATATAGTTTTTTGCCTTGAGAAAAAATGACATGATATCCCAGGAGTTGTAGGTGTTTAAGATTCATATGCATGTTTATATTGTGTGAAGAGAAGTTACATGGGGGTCTGACATATCAAAGAATTGCAAATTTATAAATAGGGATTTGTATCCTGTAAAAATATGGAAAAGGCATAAGTTCTGATACAGATTTATGGACTGAGGTTTGTATCCTGTAAAGAAAATCCATGAGGGTCTGATATTTCTAGTCAACCCATATTCATGGATGGGATTGTATTCTGTAAAAGAAAGGCATAAATGTTTGATAATTCTGGTGGTTCAAAATTCATATACAGGTTTGTATCCTATAAAGAAATGGCTTAAGGGTGATGTCCATAGTTCAAAATTAATTGGCAAGGCTTCATATCCTGTAAATAAATGGTATAGGAGTCTGATGTCATAGTTGCAAATTCATAGTCAGGGATAAATGAATAAGTACATGGGTATAGGGTTTGTATCTTGTAACAGTATTGTGTAGAGGTTGGACATCTCTAGTTCCAAGTAGTTACTATAGGATTCTGATGATGGTGTATAACATCTCTAGTTCCAATTCCGTAGAGAGGGGTTTATATTCTTTTAAAGGAATGGGTTTAAGATCTGATATCTCTAGGTGTTACAGAGTTGTAGACGGGGGTTTCTATCCTCCAGTTCAAATTCATAGACAGGTTAAGATAAGTGTAAGATGACAATCAAGTGTATGCAGTTGTTTTAATGATTAAATAACCATGCAGCCCAACATGTTTTGGCTTTAATGGGCCATTGTTAGGGGCAACCAATCTAAAGGAAATCTTACACAATTTACACAAATATTTTAATTGTTTCTAACTGTAAATCCTCAAAATATTTAAAATTATTAATGTGGTGAAGTCAGTGATGGATGTAGGTAGATGCTTTTTATTCTGTTTTGTCAGCATAATGGTGGAGGTTGTGTCACATATAATAGGCTCATGATTGCCGTTAAAATGTTGATTTGGTAGTATCTTGCGGCATTCCTATAGTGTGTGCAACCAAATGCGTGTTGTGCTCATGGAAATTAAAGAAGACGTGTCGTAACATATTTTCAGTTCCAGTTGTCAGTTATAGTGCATTCGTGTTGTCAGATGTTCTTCAGGAATGTCTTTGACAAATTGATGTTCAGCTGTCTGGTTGTTCATCCCATTTTTTATGAAACACAGCACTTTTCAAAATTAATTATGGTTCATAAACCATTCCATAGACTGGAATTATTTAATGGCTGGCATAGGAGCCAGGATAGCACATTTGGTATAGCAGCTGGCTTGAGGCTTAATGACTGAGCGTTCAGAGTTGTAGTCCTGATAGGGGCAAGACTTCTCTCCTCTCCACATTTATCATCCCACCCAGCTTCCTATCCACTGGGTACTGGGGGCTCTTTCCAGGGGTGAAGCGGCAAGAAGCTGACCACTGGCCTTCAGTTAGTGCTGACGTCAAGAATATGTGGATCTATACATCCACTCTCCCATAGATCTGTATGGCATAGTGTTTAATTAGTTGAGCACAGGGACAACTTTACCTTCTTTACTTTTTTGAACCATACAGAAAATGGCTCTGGGCCCATCTCGTGGTTGTGTAACTGCTTGTATTTTGCTATTATTATTATTATTATTATTATTATTATTA